TAGGACACCTGGAGTATTGGACACTATGTTACTATAGGACACCTGAAGTATTGGACACTATGATTCTACAGGGCACCTTGAGTATTGGACACAATGATTCTATAGGGCACCTGGAGTATTGGACACTAAGATACTATAGGGCACCTGGAGTGTTGGACACTATGATACTACAGTGCACCTGAAGTATTGGCCACTATGATTCTCCAGGGCACCTTGAGTATTGGGCACAATGATTCTATAGGGCACCTGGTGTATTGGTCACTATGTTACAATAGGGCACCTGGAGTATTCGACACTATGTTACTATAGGCCGCCTGGAGTATTGGACAATATGTTACTATAGGACACTATAGGACGCCTGGAGTATTGGACTCTATGTTACTATAGAGTATTGGACACTACGATACTATAGGACACCTGGAGTATTGGACACTATGTTACTATAGGGCATCTGGAGTATTGGACACTATGATTCTATGGGGCACCTGGAGTATTGGTCACTATGTTACTATAGGGCACCTGGAGTATTGGACACTATGTTACTATAGGACACTATAGGGTACCTGGAGTATTGGACACTATGTTATTATAGGACACCTGGAGTATTGGACACTATGATTCTACAGGACACCTGGAGTATTGGAGACTATGATTCTATAGGACACCTGGAGTATTGGACCCTATGATTCTATAGGGTACCTGGAGTATTGGACACTATGATTCTATAGGACACCTGAAGTATTGGACACTATGATTCTATAGGGTACCTGGAGGATTGGACACTATGTTACTATAGGACACCTGGAGTATTGGACACGATGATTCTACAGGACACCTGGAGTATTGGACACTATGATTCTATAGGACACCTGGAGTATTGGACACTATGATTCTATAGGGTACCTGGAGTATTGGACACTATGTTACTATAGGACACCTGGAGTATTGGACACTATGATACTACAGGGCACCTGGAGTATTGGACACTATGTTACTATAGGACACCTGGAGTATTGGACACTATGATACTACAGGGCACCTGGAGTATTGGACACTATGATACTACAGGGCACCTGGAGTATTGGACACTATGATACTACAGGGCACCTGGAGTATTGGACACTATGATACTACAGGGCACCTGGAGTATTGGACACTATGATACTACAGGGCACCTGGAGTATTGGACACTATGATACTACAGGGCACCTGGAGTATTGGACACTATGATACTACAGGGCACCTGGAGTATTGGACACTATGATACTACAGGGCACCTGGAGTATTGGACACTATGATACTACAGGGCACCTGGAGTATTGGACACTATGATACTACAGGGCACCTGGAGTATTGGACACTATGATACTACAGGGCACCTGGAGTATTGGACACTATGATACTACAGGGCACCTGGAGTATTGGACACTATGATACTACAGGGCACCTGGAGTATTGGACACTATGATACTACAGGGCACCTGGAGTATTGGACACTATGATACTACAGGGCACCTGGAGTATTGGACACTATGATACTACAGGGCACCTGGAGTATTGGACACTATGATACTACAGGGCACCTGGAGTATTGGACACTATGATACTACAGGGCACCTGGAGTATTGGACACTATGATACTACAGGGCACCTGGAGTATTGGACACTATGATACTACAGGGCACCTGGAGTATTGGACACTATGATACTACAGGGCACCTGGAGTATTGGACACTATGATACTACAGGGCACCTGGAGTATTGGACACTATGATACTACAGGGCACCTGGAGTATTGGACACTATGATACTACAGGGCACCTGGAGTATTGGACACTATGATACTACAGGGCACCTGGAGTATTGGACACTATGATACTACAGGGCACCTGGAGTATTGGACACTATGATACTACAGGGCACCTGGAGTATTGGACACTATGATACTACAGGGCACCTGGAGTATTGGACACTATGATACTACAGGGCACCTGGAGTATTGGACACTATGATACTACAGGGCACCTGGAGTATTGGACACTATGATACTACAGGGCACCTGGAGTATTGGACACTATGATACTACAGGGCACCTGGAGTATTGGACACTATGATACTACAGGGCACCTGGAGTATTGGACACTATGATACTACAGGGCACCTGGAGTATTGGACACTATGTTACTACAGGGCACCTGGAGTATTGGACACTATGATACTACAGGGCACCTGGAGTATTGGACACTATGATACTACAGGGCACCTGGAGTATTGGACACTATGATACTACAGGGCACCTGGAGTATTGGACACTATGATACTACAGGGCACCTGGAGTATTGGACACTATGATACTACAGGGCACCTGGAGTATTGGACACTATGATACTACAGGGCACCTGGAGTATTGGACACTATGATACTACAGGGCACCTGGAGTATTGGACACTATGATACTACAGGGCACCTGGAGTATTGGACACTATGATACTACAGGGCACCTGGAGTATTGGACACTATGATACTACAGGGCACCTGGAGTATTGGACACTATGATACTACAGGGCACCTGGAGTATTGGACACTATGATACTACAGGGCACCTGGAGTATTGGACACTATGATACTACAGGGCACCTGGAGTATTGGACACTATGATACTACAGGGCACCTGGAGTATTGGACACTATGATACTACAGGGCACCTGGAGTATTGGACACTATGATACTACAGGGCACCTGGAGTATTGGACACTATGATACTACAGGGCACCTGGAGTATTGGACACTATGATACTACAGGGCACCTGGAGTATTGGACACTATGATACTACAGGGCACCTGGAGTATTGGACACTATGATACTACAGGGCACCTGGAGTATTGGACACTATGATACTACAGGGCACCTGGAGTATTGGACACTATGATACTACAGGGCACCTGGAGTATTGGACACTATGATACTACAGGGCACCTGGAGTATTGGACACTATGATACTACAGGGCACCTGGAGTATTGGACACTATGATTCTACAGGGCACCTGGAGTATTGGACACTATGATTCTACAGGGCACCTGGAGTATTTGACACTATGATACTATAGGGCACCTGGAGTATTGGACACTATGATTCTACAGGGCACCTTGAGTATTGGACACTACGTTACTATAGGACACCTGGAGTATTTGACACTATGATACTACAAGGCACCTTGAGTATTGGACACTATGATACTACAGGGCACCTGGAGTATTGGACACTACGTTACTATAGGACACCTGAAGTATTTGACACTATGATACTACAAGGCACCTTGAGTATTGGACACTAAGATACTACAGGGCACCTGGAGTATTGGACACTATGTTACTATAGGGCACCTGGAGTATTGGACATTATGTTACTACAGGGCATCTGCATCGGTTCCAGGGGACCCTATAAAATGATTTACAACATGATGAAGGTTAAAGTGAAATCAAACTCTGTGTTCTTTGTTCAAAGAGGTTGAACTTATTCCAAAGCCGTAACAAACTGTTTGGTCAACTCACCTAGCGAGGGATCGACACACATCTTCTCCATTCTATCTAGGTCACTCCAGACTCCATTTTCTCCACAAGAGGTGTTGGTATTAGACACCTGATATAGACCAGGTTGGCACCTGGCTGTACACTCCTGGTGGTACGAATACTGTTTGGTGGAGGAGTCAAAGTCATCGTAGGTCACACAACCCTCCAAGGTCACACCCAGGATGTCAGGAGCACCACAGACTGTATTCACATATATGGTCATAATGTTTTTGCTAATTGTAAAATAATTCTTCAATATTGTCTTAGAGACACTTAACTCATTCACCCCTTTACTTTTATAATGAACATTACCAACCTTTGAATTTGAAGAGTTCAAGTTTGTCTTTAGGGGTAGTGTGATAAGAATCTTAAATGAAAAGGTCACAATAGTGTTTTTACAGTTAGACCTGTATTACGAGACCCCCCCCCCCCCCCCCCGGAAGTCTAAAACTGATACTTTGACACTTTGACACAGGAGCTTCTTAATGAAGGTTCAGTTCACGATAAAATCCCTACAATAGGAAATATCGAAAGTAGATACAGTTGGTCTCTTGATAGAAGTGGCCACATGAGTGAGCAGGTATGGCGGTACATTGCTTTTTAGTCCTCACAGTACAAAATATAAATCTGACATGACTGTGTCTAACAGCAGGCCCAATAGGACCTCCATGGCTGACCTGGTACTCAGTGATGTGATTTCTCAAAGACTGGATATCATGTTCATTTACACAAACTACAGGATAGACCTCTTTCCCAGAATGCTATATACCAAATATCATTTGGTTATTAAGAAGAAGTAATTTAAATTTTTCAACAAATTCGACCTGTGACCTTGAAAGTTGGTCACATTTACATGAACAAACGTGACAGCTCTATTTCTAAGACTGGCTAAATATCACCACCCTTGGCCTCTTGGTTATTTGAAAAATCTGTTTAAAACTTTAAACACATAAGTATTTGACCACTGTGACATTGAAAATGGCTCATTAAACGTGATAGCCTTTCATCCCTGCATGCTAGCTTAACACCATGACCTCGGTACCTTGGGTATACAGACGTTGTTTTAAGATTTCAACACATTTGACCAACGTGATCCTGAAAGTAGGTAATGTTTGACCATACTTAATAGCCCTTCATCCAAGCATGATACAGATCAAATAAAGTGACTCAAGGCTTCTTGGTTCTTTAGATGAATGCTGTTTAAAGAACAAGAGCTGTTTTAAACACAGCATAGCCTGCCTATTCGTAATATATTTTAAGTTAGTAAATATCAATAGAATTACCTGTATCTTAATATGTTGTAAATTGCTTAACTGTATTTGTCTGTTTCACTAACCCTGCATCAGCCCATACATCCCTATCTCCCTACATTGGAGGAAGACTCTAGATTTTGAACCCTAAAATTGAGCTTTTAATTTACAACACATTAATTTTCTAAACTATTCCTATTTTCGAAGATCTAATGCTAACACCTGAAAGAGCATCTCAAAAGATGCAATTGAAAAGTATTTTTTCCCCTAGGGTGGACATTCACACTTATAAACTATGCTTTAAATGAATATATTAATCAATTTTTACACTTGAACCAAAACATTGACCTGTAAATTCTTGCAAAAAGGTTAAGTCCGAAACAGGTGAAAAATATTGTAAAGTTCAAAAAAACAACATCTATAGTTTTTACCACCCTACAAGAATGTTGAACCCATGAGGGTCAAACCTCTATACCAAATATCAGTATCCTAGTATATGTACAAACAATTCCATGTAATCTTAATAGATTGCAACACATTGGCCTAAATCTTAACCTGTACATTTTGGCAAAAAAAGCTATTGAAGTCAAAACTAGATGTAACTTGAAGGGGGGCCTTCGTGGATACCCCCTCTTTGATTGATCAGGAATTGGTGGGAGTAATGGGCATGTGAATTGGAAGAATCAAGTGAAGAGTTTATATGATGCGAGACTCATGTTACGTAGGTCAGAGGTCATGGTATAGGTCACAGTGACCGACATATGGTAAGCGACACACTGCCTTCCATGCATGTACCCACAAACCAAAATTCATAACCATGGGTGAAATAGTACGGGAGCTATGCTCCGGAAACCTTTCCGACGGACGGAGACGAAATTATGTAGGTAAGAGGTCACAGTGACCTACATATGGTTCGCGACATGCCGCCTTCCATGCATGTACCCACAAACTAAGATTCATAACCGTAGGTGAAATAGTACGGGAGATATCCTCAGGAAACCTTTCTGACAACATGATGTAGGTCAGAGGTCACGGTAGAGATCACAGTGACCTACATATGGTAACGACACACCGCCTTACATGCATGTACCCACAAACCAAGATCATAACCGTAGGTGAAATAGTATGGGATATATGCTCAAGAAACCTTTCGGATGGACAGAGACGACAATATGTAGGTCAGAGATCACGGTAGAGGTCACTGTGACCTACATGTTGTACCCGACACACCGCCTTCTATGCATGTACCCACAAACCAAGATTCATAACCGTAGGTGAAATAGTACGGGAGATATGCTCCAGAAACCTTTCGGATGGACAGAGACGACAATATGTAGGTCAGAGGTCACGGTAGAGGTCACTGAAACCTACATATGGTAAGCGACACACCGCCTTACATGCATGTAACCACAAAGCAAGATTCATAACCGTAGGTGAAATAGTACGGGAGATATGCTCAAGAAACCTTTCGGATGGACAGAGACAACATTATGTAGGTCAGAGGTCACGGTAGAGGTCACTGTGACCTACATGTTGTACCCGACACACCGCCTTACATGCATGTAGCCACAAACCAAGATTCATGACTGTAGGTAAAATAGTATGGACGAAGCAAACATTATATACCCCCGACTTCGTCGAAGCGGGGGTATAAATAGGAAATATTAGCATCTGAATATTTCTAGTAATATTAGTGACTTTCAATACTTGCATCTAAACTATAACCAATGCCAACACCTATCTGACTACATTTACCCACTTATCTTCAAATAGGGAGCTAAAAATGTAGGAAGAGGGACCAACAAATGATAGATGCCTTAGCTTGCAATGACATAAAAGCTGAGAATTGCCTTTTGGGCAGGAGAGGTAAATCCTATCTCCTGGGTAGTCCCACTATATACCTACTTTGTGTTATGCTGATACAGGATGGCTTGACTTCAGTGGCGTTCCATCCTATGTGTGTGGAGTTTCTCCTCAAACATGTATTTGTCACTGGTTGCTTCAGATGGTAACCATGGGAACAGGCTGCGTGACAGGTCTGACAGGCTAGAAACTTCCTTGGGGTTAAGTTTCGTTCTATGTCCTCACTACAGAGGTACCCCCCATTATCATAGGACACTAGGGGTTCGCAGGCTGAAAAAAAAATACAAATTGTTTTATTTTACCATTGATCAAATACTTACCAACCTTTTAAATAGATCTTGCATGTAATGTATGCATTTTAAGCAATTTCCCTGAAGCTATCACCACCGATTTGCAACTTCAAGTATGTTCGTGTAACTGTAATAACTGTGATATTGTGCAAAAAAATTCCCTCTGCAAAAAAATCTGATTTTTTTTCTGTATTTGAAGGGAGATATCTGCAACAAATCTCATCTGGATCAAAATGTGTATAATATATATGTAAAGAAAATAAAGAGAAAGCAATTGTATTTTTTTTTCTTCAATTTTTCACTCATTTTGTATGAAACTATGAATCCTATTTGTTGTTTTTTGCCTTTAATCAAATTTACCCGCACAACTTAAATAAAAATCACTTTGTGTAACACATTTTAGATATTTTGTGATAAATTAGATATATTTTTGGTTAAATAATACAGAATATTCCTGATATGCTATGTTCTACAAAGACAACAATGCTTACCCATGGGTGGTCCACCACAACTTGTCCAGCACTTGTAGAATGACAAGTTGCCATTTTCAATGATCTCAAACTTTGGGTCATGGCAGTTTGGATTAACACAATCCCTGAGGTAGTAATCATCATTGATGTCACCTACACATTTGTAGCAGTACTGACTAACCTCACCGCTACTGGACATAAATCTTGCATACCTTAAAAAACAAGTAGAACTGTAAGTCACAAGCCATTGTTCACTTATAATTAGTTGCCTGTGGTCCAGTAGGCCTATAACACTCACCTGTTTTTATCTCACATCTCATCTGTTAATTTCAAAGTGGTTCAAGGTCAAATTATCTGACATCAGTATTACTCTTCACATTATGGATCTTTTGCGCTCTACACCCTTTGGTGTCTTTGTTGGAAGATTTCAACCTATTTTACTCACGAGACCTTCAAAGTTGGTCTCGTTCATTCATTCGGAAACAATTACTTTACTAACCTGCAATCAAACAAGCTAAAGCCAAATAGCATAATCCTATGACACTTGGTTATTCAAAAAATGGGTCAAGGTCACCAAAATTAATAACTTCATTAAAGCATGCTACAGACCAAATGTCATGCCCTAGGTCTTTTAATTATTCATCAGAAGTCGATAAAATGCTTTAACTCATTTGACATCCTATGACCTTGAAAATTGGTCAGAGTCACATTTGAGCAAACTTAATAGCCCTTTACCCCACATGTTACTGACTAAATATCCTGATTGCATGCTTTTTGGTAGTTTAGAAGAAGTACATTTAAGAATTGAAATAGTTCCTTTGGCTTAAGGATATGCAAGACCCATTATGAAGGAGTAGGATTTTTAAGATCCTACAAACAAACCTTATGTTAATATTTCAGTCTATATTTAAAATGATGCAAATTTTTGTAATAAATCTTAACGGGCAGTTTTTGTACTTCCGCTTCAGTTTATCTCTGTTTACAGAGACATTTTTTCTCTGTCAACCAGGCGTATCTCGATTTGTCGAGACCATCTTGAAAAGTTGAGACAGTTCCCAACCTGTTATAAGGTATATTATATCAATATGTAGAATATCATGAAGATGTATAAAGATATATAAAGAATATTTTACTTATTTTTTCTTTTTCAGTTTCATACATGTTATCATCCTAGACAATATTATGTGGAGGAGTGTCAAGGTTGACACCCAGAGTTCACCTAGTAAAACATACACACCTCTCGCAACAAAATATATAACTTCAAACCAGTTAATGAATTTATTTTAAATAGCAAAAAAATCTTTTACAACATCTTGCTGTTTTTTTCTGAAACAAGTACCCGGTAAATGATAAAAGTCGCAAAAGTACACCAGGGACTGGCAGAGAGTAATTTTCAACTTCTTTTTGTCTTATCAAGGTGAGGTTATTTACAGAAATTATGTTAACCAGGTACTTGTAATACCATGGAGAAAATCTCTGGTTATACATATGGGGTATGTACTTACAAATCACATGTCTTGGCGTTGGTGTTGTAGATCTGTTTAAAAAAAACAGGAGACATTGAATTCCCCTATGATATAACTAANCCCCACCCCCATCTTGATAAAAAAAACTGCAGTTTTCCATATTCGTTATATTTTTGAGTTAGATTGACTATAAACACAATTAAGGTAATATTGATGTTATTGATAAAGATGATTTGAAGGATAATAAATAAAACTGTATTATAAATAAAAGCTTTTGATTGTATTAGTCATACTAAATATCTATTTAAAGTGCTGGGGATTTTTTTTTTGTAATTTGTAGAACTTACCAACGTTAGCGCCATTGACACTGTGACTAAACACTGAAACCTTCCATTGTGTTCCATCAAATTTGGGCCTGATTAAAAAAATATTTTAGTTAGGTGACTTACAATACTGCTTATAAAGAATCATTATTTGAAAATCCTTTAACTTGTAAGCATTAGAAAGTATTCAAATTATTTATTGCTGATCTTTTTACAAGCTAGTGACAGAAGTGTACTCAATATTGACACAGACTTCAGATCTAATCTAATCCCGTGATATTGATTAATGCTGATCATTTCACAAGTAGGTACATATAAGTAATCAAAATTTAATTATTGTTAATTCTGTAACAAGTCAAGCTATAAGAGGGGGGACACTGCCTCATTAGCAAACTACAGCTTTTCCAGGAATGCCCTTTAGCCCTGGAGTTTACAATGTCAGTGCACGTGTTGGCAGTGGTTGGATGGGTACATTGCCATTCTTGTGTTACGCATTTTTCACAGGTTTCAAGTTTATCGGTTTCCTCTGATACTTTGTATATGACTATGTATAACAAGAGGTCAAAGTACAACAATTCAGTATGACAACAAATGGGTGACAAAATGGATGGCAAGTATACAAAACACTATTCATACATCAGCAGTACATGAATATGGATGGCCCTCTACTGCATTCTATCTTTGTGAAACTTGGTCAATCTAATTTTTTGACAGTATATTTAATCACGGAATTAGATTAGAGGGTGTTATCTAAGTCCGTGCTTTAATATATCATTTACTTATCTGTTCCTGTTTCTGAAAAATAGAACTTTGTACAACTTCATCGAAACAAACGTACACACATTGATGGCTACATGTACGTAACTGTTGTCCTTCGTCGGCTATTTCACGTGGCGCGAGCTCGAGACGCGGTATATATGTAACATACACGTCTCTGGCATGGCCAATTAAGTGATTCCATCTTAATAAATGTGTCAGAAGGTATCAGCAACACAACTTTAAGTCGTAAAATTCCTATCCTTGCTTTGTGGCGAGTTAAAAACACATAATATGTAATAGCTAAAAATAGTAATTACTGAGATATGCAATGCACAAGAAACGGCCATCATGGGTGTGTATAGTGCATGCAAACAGAAAGTAGGGTTTCCACGAAATACATATAATTTGTGTGGGAGATTTCCAGGAGGCATTTTTTTTACAGTTGACATTTTGTCGATGTTAATTGGGTATTTTTGGCCATAAATAGCCTAACTTTCTGTTTATAATGCTTGTTTGTCTAACGCCGACATATTGTGTTCGCTACATAAAAGTAAAATCAAAATTAAAACTTACACGATTTCCCGCCAAAATGAATAGCTTCATCGCGGAATTAGATCAGAGCTATATATACATGTAAGTCATCATTCAAACATATTTTATTAACACTGAATAGTCAGAGGGATTGGGCACAAGTTCTTACAACTTACTAGGCCCTCTCCCAAAGAGAGAAAAGATCCAAACATAGTTTATTGACACTGATCATGTAAAGTCAGAGGGATTGGGCACAAGTTCTTACAACTTACTAGGCCCTCTCGCAACAATACAACATACAACAAGTACAAATACCACGTACATTGTACTTAACAATTGATATGTAAAACAGAAAGAGAAAGGAGTAAAAAAAGGGGTTAGAGATGTCAAGGTTGCATTGGTTGTCCACTAAGTTGTTTCAAACCTTTTGTAGAGTTTATATAAGACTGTACAGCGAGAACAATATCGACATCAGTTTGGAATGGAAGTTCAGCATCACCTCAGAACGGTATCGAGAGGGTTGGGCCGTATACTAACGTTCACAAGGGCATATAATAACCCTGTTCGAATATTTGAAAATTTAGAACAGATATAAATAGCGATACGCATATTTATTATTATCACAGTGACAGGTCGGAGATAAGCAATTACCTACGCGAAAGACATCACTTTTAGGACAACTACAGTTATTCCTAATTCTTGCTAAAAGGGCCTAAAGATATCGGTTCCCGGCATTCAATTATGCTGGTAAACCGCGTGGCATAAGTGATACTTTCATATTAAAAGCAGAAGTGAATACAATAGTTTGTGCATAACTTCCATAAGCCTTTTGTAAGGGGATAAACAACTTTTTGAACACATCTAATCTACATCTTGGAATTTGGTAGTTATTTGGGTTATGAAGATTATGATGACGATCATGTATTTTAAAAGGAAGCAAACAATGGAGATCTTATGAAAGGTAGAAAGTTTAGATTTTTATCTTCTAGATTTCAAAGGAGTCCACCCAGTTGCAAGGTAAAGAGCCTCGCAAGAGGCTACAGAGGAACTCCGGAAGCTTCTCGTTGTACCCTTTCCAAGGCATTTGTCAGTTCATCAAAACAACCATCCCAGACACATGATGCATATATGCAAGAGTTGGTATGATAAACGATGTATATATAGTACTTAATGTTTTAGGGCGGCTACTTTGGAAGTTGGCTTGGCCCACTTGTATAAAACATCTCAAAGTTAAGGAAAATCTCAATCAATGTATTGTCTATGGGAAATCTTAGACTTGAGGAAATCTCAAGAGTTGAGATGTTTTATACAAGTGATAATTTGTTGAACATGAGCATGCCATTGACATTTACTACTGAGGAAACTCCGAGGTGACAGCGAGACTTGGTGGAAGCCAGAGTTTCATTGTTACAAGTTAGGTTGAGTTTAACATACAGCAGACCCGTTTAAGTTGATAGCGCCAGGCCTAAAACTACACAAATGAGCAGTGTCGACGCTGTCTACCTTCCGGACCACCATTTACCTTCCGGACCACCATTTCCATTTCCGTATAATGCCAAATTTTTGAACCATGAATACATTACCACGTCTCTCCCGTATTGTAATATACTGTATCTAAATATATAGTTCATATAGTTGTAGACACAAATGGTAAGCCTTATAGCTTCGTTGGGCGCATTTTGATACAGTTAAAACTTTGATTGTATTTACACTTCCGGTGCGCTTGAATAAGGAGAAGTATTATCAGGTATACAAATTAGACCTTAATATAAGACACAGCGTTTCATATACAGCTTTTAAAGACACTCTTCGCAGGCTTAATACTTCAGAAGTCCCTATATATTATCTCCTTGGTGATCGAAAAAGTAATATTTTACACACCAGATTGAGAAATAACTCTAGTACCTTAAACAATCACTTATTTCATGCTAATTTAATAGATTTTCAGCACTGTCAATGTGGACATCCTATCGAAGATACATATCACTTCTTTTTTACTTGCAATAATTATGTAGATCAGAGAATTAAACTCTACCGCAAATTAAATGATTTCATTCCACTTAACTTGCAGCTACTACTATACGGTAAAAGTGAATTGTCGTATCAAGAAAACACCCTAATAGCCAAACAGACGCAGCAATTTATTCTAGATACTAACAGATTTTGAGTATATTTTCCTGCACTTCTTATATTAATGTTTACTAACTAATCCGAATCTAGCTCTCTCTCATTCTCCCTCTCTCTCCTCTCTCTCTGTCTCTCTTCACCCCCCCTGTCTCTCTCTCTGTCTCTGTCTCTGTCTCTCTGTCTCTGTCTCTCTCTCTCTCTCAATTAAAGCAAATGTGAATATATATGTTATATGCCATCTTGATAATTTGTAGTAATATATTGTAGGGAAAGGGCTTAATATAAGTTGTAAAACTTGTGCCCAACTCCCGTTGTATATAAATTACAATAAAATATGTTTAAATCAAAATTTAAAAAAAAGGTATACAGATAGCACTGTGCCTCGAATTTTAACTGATGTTTTTCCAAAACTTACTAAGTCTATTCTTAAAAAGTGTTCGGATTTAGAGAATCAACCACATTGCCTGGCAATTTATTCCAGATGTCTACCACCCTGTTACAGAAGTGATTGCTGTAGACATGTGTACGTGTCCTCCGTTAAAATAATGTCCTTATGTTGCCTCTTGTTACGCTCATTTGGTGCTCTTTTGAACACATTTTCATGATCTAATATGTCTTTTCTTCCCAAAATATACCTAGGATCCTGTTGGCTTTTAATACCGAAGCTGATATGGTCTTTTCTGTGAATGTATTGGTCTGTAGAAAAAGACCCATACGGACTAATACCTGAACTTCAAATCTCACCGTCCTTTGCACCAGGAGTTAGGCGTCGTACGCACAATGCTCAACTGATGTGATACTGTAGTCAAAGAACAACAGGACAAAATACAAGAGCAGAATCACATCGCTAGGGCAATGTAAACTGTGCATATCCGGAATGGGCCTTAAAACGAGTACAAAAACAGTGTCAAAGTAATATAAGGGAAGAACAAGAAAAAGCCAATCAAGGTTAAGAACAAAACCTAAGGTCAGGTGGTCGTCCTGTATATAAAGGGTATATCCGAAACTATCCAGAGGATATATCGCGGGCATAGCAACAGCCATGAAGCCCCACAAGACGCTTCGTAATATCCTAGTACACCAAAAGGATAACTCCAAAGTATTGGAGAGAGAGAGAGAGAGAGAGAGAGAGAGAGAGAGAGCAATTCTAAATCGAGATGAGGGGGCTCATAGACTCTCTCACATCTATGACCAATAATCATTTCGGTACATAATGTATATAACAACTATTGTAGCCGAATCGACATGGATTTGTGGACAACTCGCACACATTTTACACATTTGTGTGCATACGCTTCACTGGTCATTTGTCTGATGAAGATGACAGAGTACATACCGCAGTAGTAATCGAAACTTCACATAAAAACACTTATTAGTTGCATAAAAAGAAGTTTTTCGAAAGCTGATATGGTCGTTTCATTTTAAGGAATTATCGTACATTGTGGTATTGTGCTGGGGTTTCTAAATTTCCAATTCTCAGTTGCTTGCATTTTTCAGAGTTTAGTTTCATAAACCATTTGTCGTCCAAGTACACACGGAGTCAAGATCCTTTTGTAACAGTTGTTGGTCTAGTTGATTCTCTACTCGCCTAAATATTTTGAGTCTTTCGCAAACAGGTTTGATGGTCTGAGTAATTGGTCCGGGAAATCATTTATGTATATGAGGAATATAGTTGGTCCCAAAACACTTCCTTGGGGGCAATCACTTGTCACAGAAGTTTGGCTAGATTTTGATACATTTATGATCACTTGCTGTTTAAGATCCTGTTGGTATGCTTTGATCCGTTTCCAGACTTGTCCGTCATAACCATATGATTTAAGCTAAGTTCTGCTATGCGACACTTTATCAAAAACTTTAGAATTATCCAAATAAATGATTTCAGTTGATTTGTTGTCGAGTGCTTTGGTCTAGTCCTCCGCTAGACTTTCAAGGACACTTAAATTTAGTGAAAACGTTGTTTTCTTCCATACGTTTTACAATGGTCAAGTCTCTCACTATTCTTGGCATAATTTTACTAGCTATTGATCTCCTTCTTATCCCAATAATCTGCATACCACCTCTGGTATATTGTCAGATGTGGCACATACCAAGGGGAAGCATGCCTCCATTAAAACCATTAAACATCTCGTAGGCAATATATACAGTTAAAACAGTGGTGCTCACAGTGTCACAGTGTGCTGTAGTCTCTTCTTAAACACCTCTAGTGAGTCTGTTGAGATGCCTTGGATTGATAAGCCATTCCACAGGCGAATGGCGGAGGGGAAGAAGGACTGCTGGTGTCTTTGTAACCTGGAGAATGACAGGTGGACAGGTGACAGTTCCTCTTGTTGTAATGGTTGGCCCTCTTGTGATGAGATGTGGATGTGGCGGTATTGCCACTAAATCATTGACTATGCGGTAGAGCATGATGACCTTTGCCCGCTTTATCCGTTCTTCAAAACTAGTCCATTGGAGTTTTCTCAGCATTGATGTTACGCTGCTGGTTGTTCTGTAGTCTCCAATGACGAAGCGTGCTGCCCTTCTCTGCACCATATCAATATCTCTGATGTCCTTTTGTGAATTTGGAACCCATATAACACTCGCATATTCCACGATAGACCTAACTAGCTGTCTGTAGCATTGCTCCTTAATCTTAGTTGGACAGGTGCTGGTGTTCCTTATCAAGAATGCATTGATGTTGTTTGCCTTCTTTGAACGTGTTCCTATTTGATTGGACCAGCTGAGGTTGTCACTGATGTTTACTCCCAGGTTCTTAGCTGACTTGACTCTGCCAAGTCGGGTCCCGTTGATGCTTTAGTTGGTATCTAGTGGCGTCCTTCTGTTGGTGACCCGTAATACCTCACATTTGTTCGGATTGAATTGCATCAGCCATTTGGTCTCACACTGCTGCAGGTTGTCAAGGTCGTTCTGAAGGATCCCAGAGTCCTCATGGGTACGTACTTTTCTGTAGAGGAGACAATCATCTGCAAACAGTCTGGCTGTTGATGTTACACTCTCAGACAGGTCTTTGATGTAGATGAGAAAGAGCAGAGGTCTTTCGATCCACCACCACTTCTTGATTTCGGTGTTACAGGAAGCTGGCAATCCATTGCAGTGAGTTACCTCTTTTCCCGTAGTAGTCGCACTTGCTCAAAAGCCTCTGATGAGGGACCATATCAAAGGCTTTTGAGAAGTCGAGGAGTACGTATACACGGTCAATCTGTTCTCCGGTATTGAGTCAATTTACTAAGTCCTACAATGTAAGGATACATTGGCTTTCACATGATCGTGCTCTTCGGAATACATGCTGGAAGGATGATTTTCCAGATAACCATTGATGTTGCTGTGAAATATATGCTCCATGATCTTGCATGTGATGGAGGTAAGGGATACTGGACGACAGTTGGAGGCCTTCCCTCGATCCCCCTTCTTGAAGAGAGGCGTGACCACAGCTTCTTTCCACATGTCTGGTATCCGTCCCTGGTTTAATGATGCCTTGGATATCAATGTTAGGACCGGTGTTACCTTCTCTGCTAGTTCTTTCAGGAGCTGTCCTGGGATAGCACCAGGGCCAGTGGCTTTGTGGATGTTGATATTCTTCAGCAACTTCATCACTCCAGGAGGATGAATGACGATCTCTGGCAGATCTGGGTAGGGGCTAACACCTTTATTGGGTACAGAACTCAAACCCTCCTTTGTGAAGACTTATGTAAACTGTCGGTTGAGGATGTTAGCCTTGTTGATACTAGCGCTATATAGTATTCCCTTCTGCCTTAATGGTGTTTTCCGATCTTTTACTTTTGATGAATCCCCACAATTTCTTTAGGTTGGTGGTATGGTCTTCATCAAACATGTTTAAAAAGGTATCGATTTTACGAAACATACAACATAAGCTACAAAGAGCTTGTATTTCGAAAAAACATGAGTATAATAACAGAGTTGATGTTAACTTAAAGGGCGGTAGTGGTTCATGGTTCATGGTGGTCGACGTCTTCGTAAGCATAATACATTGCTTCTGTTGACGCTTCTTCATAGTCATTCACTTATTTACAGGTTACGCAGAGGACGCGTATACAACTTATATTACATATTAGTAGCACGATGGTAAAAACTTGATTGGATGATTGACCCAATGTTTGTTGAATCTAGATTTAAAAACATTTAAGCTTGGGGATTCTACCACTCTTTATCTCCTTCCGCGAAAAATCTTTAGATAATGTGTTCATTATATCTGTTTAAGACAAAAAAGAATCAAAGAAAATATGTAAAGATGTTGAACAGTGGCGTTTTAAATCAGTGAAAGTTCCGAACTATATTTGGTTCAAATTACTACATACTCTAAAGTGTGTGTGTAAGAGTTTTCTCCCCTTGGCCATCATTGCGTAGTTTCATGCTGGCTACTTGCAATTGTTCAACGACTGTTTGATAACTGTCCTTGATAAAGTAGGCTTCGTGTTTTCTTTGTCTCAACGGAAAGTCTCCAAGTGAAAGAGAATGTTGACTTATACTAAAGTAGCCGTCATCAGCTGTGCCTAACGAGTTTGTAGATAGCTTCTCAATGCGACAGCAACTGTGACTAACGTGTTTGTAGATAGCTTCCCAGTACAGTCTCTAGATAATGGCCCGATTAGTATAATACAAGTAGCATATTGAACATCAAAAATTAAAAACGTATATACATATTATTCACATTAAACAGAAACTGAATAATTATATAGGTATTTAACCTTCGTTACAATATCGAGAGAAGGAGAGATACACACACGCACTGGAAATAATACAATCTCTTTTTATTTTTTTGTATAATTAATCATGATAATAACAAATTGTAATAATAATATCATAAATTATTTATTTATATTATTTATATAACATTTTTTTTATACTTCATTTAATCTTAAACTTTCCCATAATCTTACGGGACAATTTTGCAGGGTTGTCTGGTCAAGGTCACTGTTGCTGTTTTTTAAAAATATCATTGTCTGCGCTGTAGTAGCTTCATTCCTTGAAGGATTTCCATCGATTTGAAACACTAATTAAGGACCATAATATCAGACAAGTTTCAATTTCAGGGCTGTTGGGTCAAGGTCATCGTTACTTATTTTTATGCTGCTAATGGTAGCCAGTAAGGGACCTATATTGTTTTAGCAATACTCTGCTTGTTAGTTTTATTGAAAATTATGATTTAGGGATGGGCTATTATGACCCTTACTCAACAACATGTTCTTTATCATTTACTGCCATAATTCATAATTTGAATCCTTCATACACAGCATCCCTGAGTGCCCTTGGCACTTTGATTTAATGATTCTTGTGCCCTTTTCGCGTCCGGATAACCGGTTAATCGCGCTATGTTCTGGTCAGTTCATGAAATTAAGCAGATCTTTAGTAAAGCCCCCAAATTCATATTTTGAAATATATCTGTTATTTCAATTTTAAGTGCCTATATATCCAATAGCTGTGGTTATTTAAATATTTAGAAGAAAATATTTAATGTACTAACTTTAGTTAAATACTGACTTACAGGAATGAATATTTTAAAGTGCGAGACTAACAAGGAACTCTTCACAAAGAAGGTTATAAACGTCTATGTCAAAATGACAAGCAAACACACACTGATCAAGACAGAAAATATGAATTGTCATCGTAAGTTGATCTGTTGAACTAGAGTTGTCTTTTTATTATGACAGGCTTATGCGCTGTAGTTTATTTCCTTAATATGTTTGGTATGTATATTGATTTGTCAACATTTCCTAAGCCTGCCTTACTCGTTCCATACACGGTACTGAAACGGCCGAGTGCCAAATCTTCGGTACCCCCGGCCACCAACGGGCGATATGTTTTGGATTAAATTTGAATATTTGTCATTAACGGAAAGAATGTTACTTGCAGTACACTTAATGAGGGACTGTAACAGATCTCAAGAAATTCACCCTAGTTTTCAAAACAATTAAATTTATACTTTTCCTGGCCTTCAGTTTCTTTCTACCTATCCATAAAGCTGATATTTAGCCCATTTTGACAAAACTGCCTTTCCAAAATTAAGTAAAATAGTAAGGATATATAGAGAGAAGTTGCCCGTCTAAATGGGCCTTTAAGAAAACTAAAAGAAGGCGACCGGTGTCTGGCTAAGCAGCTAATAGCCTGATCTATAACCAGGTCGGGGAAAACCACTTATTAGTGCCGGGTTGTTTCGCCCCAAATCTCGTTCGCCCCAGGTTGTTTCGCCCAAACAAAAATAATTCTTGAAGTCATAAACATCATGTTAAAAGTTAAAAAAACTTATCTTTCTCCTGAATCAAGATATAATATAGATACTAATATCCAGAATATACTGTATATTATCATTTTCATTTCTTTACCTCAATTAAGTAATGTTGTTCCTTATAAAATTCACCTGTATATATTTTAACGTTAAAAATGTTTAAAAACAATTAAAAAGTACCCTGTCACGTCAGCCACTTTATATCAAACAAATTTCTCTAAGTACATAGATACGTATACAAAATGGCCATAGATTAGGTACAAATTGCGTATAATAATGAAAAGAAATTAATACTTTAATTATAAATATCTATAATATATAGATAAGATATGGACATATAATGAAACTAAATTAATTTCTTTAAGTACGATACTTATAATATATAGATAAGATATGGACATATAATGAAACTAAATTAATTTCTTTAAGTACGATACTTATAATATATAGATAAGATATGGACATATAATGAAACTAAATTAATTTCTCTAAGTACATAGATACGTATACGAGATGGACATAGATTAGGTACAAATTGCGTATAATAATGAAAAGAAATTAATACTTTAATTATAAATATCTATAATATATAGATAAGATATGGACATATAATGAAACTAAATTAATTTCTTTAAGTACAATACTTATGATATATAGATAAGATATGGACATATAATGAAACTAAATTAATTTCTTTAAGTACGATACTTATAATATATAGATAAGATATGGACATATAATGAAACTAAATTTCTCTAAGTACATAGATACGTATACGAAATGGACATAGATTAGATACAAATTGCGTATATAGACTGAAACTACATACGTATATTAATTGCGTATAAGAATGAAAATAAATGAATACTTTCTCTAGAGATGTATACGAAATGTAAATAATTCCCCAAGTACGTAGATACGTATTTTAATTGTTAAGCAGATGTGTACATTTTAATTATGAAATAAACATTGGCAATTTACAAAATACATTAAATATACTTGTATAATAATGTACTTACCAGTCTGGCAGGTTCTAAGCTGCCAACGGTCACACACATCACATCAGATACCATGCTTTCTGCGTCGAACCACGGGGTTGCACAAATCATCCATAACGTAAATTATGTTATGGATGATTTGTGCATTTTGTAACTTGTCATAAATAGAGCATTTCTCAATACTGTGTTATAATTCAACATTACTAATGTTGAATAATAACACAGTACTGAGAAATGCTCTATTTATGACAAGTTCCCTACTCAAAATTATCTACTCAAATATGCATATTAATTTGTATTGGTCGGTACTATCAAAACTTCTCAAAATGGACAGATTCTCCAATTAGCAAAAAACAACACAGACGTGTGCAGAAATCAAGTAAAGAAAACATAGTCACACGGCGACGAGTATGCGTACAGTCGTACACTAGACTTAATGTGTTAACATGGAAAAATAATATTGTTGTATACCCCGCAATTTTTTAAAATTACACCATTTTTGCTTCATTTCACTATCCTTACTTATTTCTAAAATTAAATTCAATATATGTTATAATACGTAATCAGTTTTTTGCTTTACAATGTACTGAAAACAACACAAACACATTTTATTTTTAATAAAACTGATTTTAATGATATGAAAGACTAAGAAGACTTAATTTGTGACTTAAAACAAATAAAAAGAAAATGCCAACAATGTTTCGCCCTAAAATGTTTGTTTTAGGGCGAAACAACCTGGCGTGATACAACCTAGGGCGAACAGGATTTGGGGCGAAACAACCCGGAACCCTTGCATATAATAAACAAACTCACCTATTATACGCCAATAGAGGTATGGATTTGTTACTAAAAATAGCCAAAATCACTTTAATCTGAACTTTTTCAAATTAATTGTCCAAGTCGCATTTATTCAGTCATGAAACATAATACAAATGCAAAAATAAAATTTATGTGCATGTGGGAAAGTACCAAAAATAGATGCAATACTTCCGGTAAAGTTACATCAAGTTTCTAAGTAGCCAACGCTTTCAGTAAACATCTTTTAGCAAAATATTATTTACCTTGTCGTGTATTAATGCAATTTTTAATAATATCTTACAAAAGTTACTGTTAAAGCGATTTGGGTTATTTTTAGTAACAAATCCATACTCCATCTGGCGTATAATAGGCGAGTTTGCGTATTATACGCAAGTTGGTGGTTAAAGCTAAATGGCACTGTAATGTTGACGATTAAACACCAGTGTCTTGTTATTATTAGTTGGACTGCATTACATGAAGATTTGTACTGTGATATTTGTTATTGTTTAGTAGTTTTACAATGGTTAGTGTTGTGCACTGTACTGCTGCCACCTGTAGGAGGTTCCATTGAAGGAACTCTTGAGTATTTGTATGTGTACGTCTTTGGTAGCAAAAATGTGTCTTGTTTGTTGGTCTGTTGGTATGAGGATCATGCAGTGGCGGATCCAGAAACCTTTTTAGGGGGGTTTCCAAATTTCCTGGGGGGGTTTCCATGTGGGGAAAAATTGAGGAAAATGGTGAAAATACATGATTTTTAAAGAAAATTCTCAGGGTGGGGGGGTTTCCTGAAGCCCAGAAAACCCCTCTGGATCCGCCTCTGGGATGGTGCTATTTTTAAAACCAATTTGGTTAATCTTTCCTACCAGTAATACCGCCTCATTTGAAGTTTTCCTGAAACTAGTCTCCAAAAGTTGACAAAAGATCAGTTATATATTAGTACCTCATTTTGAAAAAAACAACATGCCCAAAATAGGGCTATCTGTGTTTGAGACTAATGTGTTTTTTCCCCTTTCCTTTACAATAGGTTGTGTAAAATACCCTTTGCCTACAAATGTTATAAAACCTGACTGGCTGTGAAAGGAAAGTAACAGGAAATTTTCTTTAAATAAAACAAACATTAAACTCTTCAAGTTTTTTCTTGATATTAATATTGCTTTAGCTTGTTATAACAGAATAAAATTTTGTTTAAAAATTGTTTCACATATTAATTACGACATTGTGATTATACTTTGTGTGTCATGTACATTACATGAATTACATCTTTTCGTTTCAGAAAAGGAAAATTGTTCAAGTGATTGCTTAATACCAGGAATTGTCAGTCATGCATATTCTCATAGCTACATTTGCTCTTTTACAGTTTGAAGGTATAAATTAAAACAAGATGGACAATATATTGGTTGGGATCCTGTCTTCTGCACATCCAGACAGCTTGAAGAAGCAGCTGATCCAGAAGATAGCTACTCGAGGTTCTCAGCCACAACCCGTTAAAGTCATACAGTCTGTTCTGGAGTTAATGTCTAAATGGTATCTGGAGGGAGACTCTGACGTAGCTCTCAGTGAGGGGTTATCTGTGTACAAGCTATGGGCCAAATACAATTTGTCTGTCTTTGAGGAATATTTCAATCGTCAGTTCCTGCTAACTCTCTTGTCCAGTACCTATAGAAATGAAGCTAATGCAGTCACCCTTCTCCATGAGAGTATGATTCTGCTGCAGTGCTCTTCAGTATGTAGCAGTCACATGCAGGTCATTGAAGCCAAGGCCATCAGCTACGTCAGGGAACATCCTTCCCTCCCGTGTATTTCTAACTTTGTTAAGTTTCTGAAGGAGTTCCGCTCCTGTATACCTAAAGGAGATTTTACTGGACGCTTTTGTGTCTCTCTTATAGATGCACTTAGCATCTGTTCTGTTCCCGATAACCATGAAGATGTTCATCAATATGTGCTGGGGGCAGAAGATATCTCTTGCCTGATAAAAGATATTTGGGACAAGACTGACTCGGAAGTGGTGATGATGTCACTGAAAGCAATCTTTGGTATAATATCCTCCGTTGATGAAGCTGGTGTGGAGCCATCTTTCTGTCTTGGAGCTCTCGCCCAGCACATACCAACAGAAATGTTAAAGGTTGTTGTGAAGTTCACGATTAACAATCCGGCCATAGATAATTTCAGTATGACAGCCGCCCTTCAGAGGATCGTGGATTGGTTACAGTGGCCCACAGCCAGAAACATTGACCAATGGATCATAGCGTTCCTAAAGGGTTTGGCAGCAGTGAAACGATACAGTATTCTGATCAGTGTTACAGAGTCAAAGATTGAACAGGTCAGTAAATACGAGCTGGAGGCAGACAGCAATGGTAGATCTAGCATTTTATAGAGGGTCCAATTATACCAGTATTACTGATAACTAATACTGATACGACTATATGACTTTTATGTATTTGGAGTCCTCTTTATTTTTCTTCTGTATGATATGGAGACATTATCAATATGTAAAGAATGAACCAACAACAGTGCCTTGCTAGGTTGTATTGACAATGTTTTGACAAACAGCATCAGGATTAACAAGTATTTTTGTATTTTAGTTTATATATTTTATAGTTTATAAGTTCCATAATTTATAAGCATCATCTACATGTAACTCATTAATATTTACATTACCGATAATCAGGTTATAAATCATTAATATTTACATTACCGATAATCAGGTTATAAATCATTAATATTTACATTACCGATAATCAGGTTATAAATCAAGGTACACAGAATTAATTAAACAAAAATTGTAATCAAAAGTATTTTAAATCATTTGCACAAAAATAAAATACAAGAGATCTAGAGATCCAAATAGATCTGTGACAAAGTGTACCGGACTCCGTGATAATCCTGTGTACCGGACTCCGTGATAATCCTGTGTACGGGACTCCGTGATAATCCTGTGTACGGGACTCCGTGATAATCCTGTGTACCGGTGAGTCCGGGATAATCCTGTGTACCGGACTCCGTGATAATCCTGTGTACGGGACTCCGTGATAATCCTGTGTACCGGACTCCGTGATAATCCTGTGTACCGGACTCCGTGATAATCCTGTGTACCGGACTCCGTGATAATCCTGTATACCGGACTCCGTGATTATCCTGTGTACCGGACTCCGTGATAATCCTGTGTACTGTACAGAGTGTACCGGACTCCGTGATAATCCTGTGTACTGTACATAGAAAACATATATGATATAGTGACTGTCTCTCATTTATAAGTGATGTGTGTCATGTCTTTATGCATACAGGCCAGATATTCAATTATCAAGGGTCCTATTTTTTGCAGCATTATTTATTTTATATAAAAAAATATCTTTTTTTATTTCCTACAGGTGTTTGAGAAAGTGACGTTCCCTTTTGTTCGTAATTCTGCCATCAATGTTTTGTCACACATGTTGTTCAGCTTTCAACATTCTCCAGAGCCATTCCACAAGGTAATATTATATCTTACAGAATTAATCATTTAACATATATATTTACTTAATGTTTTTAGAATTGCCAAAATTCTACCAATGCCTTGAATACACTTCAAGTTAAGTTGTGTGGTCAGTGGGGGAGGGGGTGCCGTGGATAGCGCACTTGTCTTTCATCAAGGTGGCAGGGGTTTGATTCCCCAATTGGACATGAAAAGTTATGGGGTTACACCCTGCCTGACCCCATGGAATTTCTCAAGTTACTCCGGTTTCCTCCAACATTTAGTCCCCTGTGCACTTATTATAACATGATTACATCTGGGCCAATATGAGTGATTGATGTAAGTTGAAATAACTTGTTATAATCTCACTTTACAGACTCCTGACTTTAAGGACATCCTTTATTGTAACCTGACTACTGACACCTGGTTTAAAGGACATCCTTTGTTGTAACCTGACTACTGACACCTGGTTTAAATGACATCCTTTATTGTAACCTGACTACTGACACCTGGTTTAACAGACATCCTTTATTGTAACCTGACTACTGACACCTGGTTTAAAGGACATCCTTTATTGTAACCTGACTACTGACACCTGGTTTAAAGGACATCCTTTATTGTAACCTGACTACTGACACCTGGTTTAAAGGACATCCTTTATTGTAACCTGACTACTGACACCTGGTTTAAAGGACATCCTTTATTGTAACCTGACTACTGACACCTGGTTTAAAGGACATCCTTTATTGTAACCTGACTACTGACACCTGGTTTAAAGGACATCCTTTATTGTAACCTGACTACTGACACCTGGTTTAAAGGACATCCTTTATTGTAACCTGACTACTGACACCTGGTTTAAAGGACATCCTTTATTGTAACCTGACTACTGACACCTGGTTTAAAGGACATCCTTTATTGTAACCTGACTACTGACACCTGGTTTAAAGGACATCCTTTATTGTAACCTGACTACTGACACCTGGTTTAAAGGACATCCTTTATTGTAACCTGACTACTGACACCTGGTTTAAAGGACATCCTTTATTGTAACCTGACTACTGACACCTGGTTTAAAGGACATCCTTTATTGTAACCTGACTACTGACACCTGGTTTAAAGGACATCCTTTATTATAATCTCACTTTACAGACTCCTGACTTTAAGGACATCCATTATTAGCTCACCTGCCCGAAGGTTTTGCCACCTGTTTTGATATATATAGAAGATGCATGTGCTCTGAACAGGATTTTCCTAGTAAATTATCTATAGCTTTTGCTTCAACAAAGTGAAAAACATTTCAATGCTTGTTAATTGCAAGTTACATGTGAATATTTTAAACAAGCAGTAACATCTGTACTTCCTTTGTTGTAGATACTTCCTTTGATCCCAGTGATATACAGGAAGTTAAAACAGGAGAGATCTACGGAGGCTGTACACGCCCTGAGTAGGCTAGCTGATGTGGTACACTGCTGTATGTACCTCCACGCTGGATACCCAGACCTCTACGATTCTGTGCTGGTGCTTTTTAAGGTCAGAAGTTACGGTGGTTTCATCATTAACATCTCCATACATTTAATGTGGAATACATTTACCAGAAAAATATCTGGAAGAATAGATGTTACAGAATGTTAAAATGTTACAATTTTGGCTGAAAGTTTACCTGGACTCATGACACATACATTACGTTATAACATGTTTTGCATTTGCAAATAAGTTAAGATGAAATACAAACAAAGTGACCGAGTGATGTACAGGGTCCCCCGAGTGATGTACAGGGTCCCCCGAGTGATGTACAGGGTCCCCACACTGCCATAATAACGTTTCTTGTGTTGTAGGACTATCCAAAACCTGATGCTGATTCTATGAGAACCAAGTTGGATGAAAACAAGTGGACAGCTCAGAAATCAGACAGTTCTAATTATTTATCAAAAGTCACACAGAAATCTGAAACTGGGAAAACAGGGCTCTTCAACCTGGGGAACACCTGTTTCCTGAACAGTGTAATACAGACCCTGTTTATGTGTGATGAGTAAGTTTACACACCTTATCATATAAAACAACCTGTTACCAGTGATCATTATAAAAAGCTCCCTCTTTTTTAACAGATTTAACAGATACAGGCAACATCCTGAATTTAAGTTGTTTTTTCCATATAGTCCGAATTATTCTGACGTTTTATTGACTTTTTAGCTCACCTGGCACAAAGTGCCAAGTGAGCTTATGCCGTGGCGCGGCGTCCGTCGTCCGTCCTCGTCCGTCAACTTTTCCTTTAAACAACTTCTTCTGAAGAACGAACAGGCCTAGAGTCATGATATTTGGCTGAAAGCTTCGTTGGTAGGAGCCCTACAAAGTTTGAGAACGAAAATGACCTTGACCTGTTTTCAAGGTCACAGGGGTCAAATATGTCAAAAACTTCAAACGACTTCTTCTAAAGAACTAAAAGGTATAGAATCTTCATATTTGGCTGATGGCTTCCTGGGATAGAGCCCAACAAAGTTTGAGAATGAAAATGACCTTGACCTACTTTCAAGGTCACAGGGGTCAAATGTGTCAAACACTTCAAACGACTTCTTCTGAAGAACTGAAAGGTATAGAATCTTTATATTTGGCTGGTGGCTTCCTGGGATAGAGACCAACAAAGTTTGAGAATGAAAATTAGTTTGACCTACTTTCAAGGTCACAGGGGTCAAATATGTCAAAAACTTCAAACGACTTCTTCTGAAGAATTAAAAGGTATAGAATCTTCATATTTGGCTGATGGCTTCCTTGGATGGAGCCCAACAAAGTTTGAGAATGAAAATTACCTTGACCTTCTTTCAAGGTCACAGGGGTCAAATGTGTCAAACACTTCAAACGACTTCTTCTGAAGAACTGAAAGGTATATAATCTTTATATTTGGCTGGTGGCTTCCTGGGATAGAGCCCAACAAAGTTTGAGAATGAAAACTAGTTTGACCTACTTTCAAGGTCACAGGGGTCATATATGTCAAAAGCTTCAAATGACTTCTTCTGAAGAACTGAAAGGTATAGAATCTTTATTTTTGATTGATGGCTTCCTTGGATAGAGCCCGACAAAGTTTGAGAATGAAAATGACCTTGACCTTCTTTCAAGGTCACAGGAGTCAAATGTGTCAGACACTTCAAACGACTTCTTCTGAAGAACTGAAAGGTATATAATCTCTATATTTGGCTTGTAGCTTCCTAGGAAAGAGCCGAACAAAGTTTGAGAATGAAAATGACCTTGACCTTCTTTTAAGGTCACATGAGGCAGATATGTCAAACACTTTAAACGACTTCTTCTGAAGAACTGGTAGTTATAAAATCTTAATATTTGGCAGGTGGCTTCCTGGGAAAGAGCCAAACAAAGTTTGCGAATGAAAATGACCTTGACCTACTTTCAAGGTCACAGCGTTCAAATATGTCAAACAGTTCAAACAGCTTCTTCTGAAGAATTAAAAGGCATAAAATTATAATATTTGGCTGGTGACTTCCCGGGATAGAGCTCACCAAAGTTTGCAAATGAAAATGACCTCAACCTACTTTAGAGGTCACAGAGGTCAACAACATTTTAATGGATTTGTTCTTGAGAACTAAAAGGAATGGATTCATAAGATTTGGCTGGTAGCTTTTTGGAATAGAGCTAACCAATTTGAGAAGGAAAATGACATTGACCTACTTACAAGATCACAGGGAAAAATATGTCAAGCAACTTCTGAAGAAGAATCAAAAAGCATAGAATCTTATAATAATATTTTGCTGGTAATTTCAACAGATGGAGCCAACAAAGTTTGTGAGGGAATGTTTTTAGTGCAATATAATATTTAATGAGAATATTTTGCTATGTATGACTGCTTAAATATTCAGGTGAGCGATACAGGCCCTCTTGGGCCTCTTGTTTCATATCGGTCTGTCGTAGATTAACATCAGAACTCCGGCCCTCTATAATATGCGGGAAATATGCGCCCCGCGCCCGGAGCACACTTTAAACTGATATTTTAGAAACAAATTGTCACTTTCACACACATGTCGCACATGGATCGAAAGATCTGTTCATTATGCACTAGGGGGTATCAATAACATGTTTCAAAGATCATTACGAAAAGTATTTTCCAACGTTTTCTGTACCAACCCATGTTTTTAATGGAAATTAGGCCATGAGCAATGTCACATGACTTGACGAGATCTTACGTTACCAAAGGTATTTCCCAACGGTATGACGCAGGCCGGCGAGATTTTAGTCACGTGACATTAGAAGGCGGGGCTATCAAAAAACTAGAGTAAAACAGAGTAAGTTTGAAAAAACATGTTTTTAGTGATTGTGTTGGTTGTTTGAGGCATGTTATGTATGTTCATCTTGTGCATAATGAATAGATCTTTCGATCCATGTGCGACATGTGTGTGAAAGTGACGATTTGTTTCTAAAATATCAGTTTGAAGTGCGCTCTGGGCGCAGGGCGCATATTTCCTGCATATTATAGAGGGCCTGAGTTCTGACGTTAATTGACGACAGACCGGTATGAAAAAAGTCGATAAAACGTCAGAATAGTTCGGACTATATCCATATCCTACAGAACAAAGCTAAGTTCAGATTATCTCCCCTTTATTAAGATGAATTATGTGGGCAATCATAAGTGATTAGAAATGGTAAGATGATTTTTTTCCTGTAAATGTTGATATCATTTCCCATAATTAAGGGAGAGATTGTCATTTTGTCGCCTGCAACGCAAGGCAACATATAGGTATGACTTTGTCGGCGTCGGCGGTTGCGTCGTCCGAAACAAGGTTTCTGTGCAATAACTTGAGTTCCCTGAGGTTGATTGAACTCAAACTTGGTACACATATTGCATACCAATATAGCTTGGACAAGTTCCCTTTTCAGAGGTTTACGTGCATTTTTGGTGGAGTTGTGCCCCTTTTATTGCCATATAAGGGCAATGTGTAGTAAATGCAAGAACTTTTTATTTTTGATCAATTGCTTTCAAATTATGTACGGTAATGCTAGAAGCAATAATGTTCAACATATATTACGGGGTTTTCTGTCGAGCTTCAACTTTTCTTACTAAAAGCGCTAAGCAGGCGACACATCCACTCTCTTGGAATTCTTATTTTTTGTTTAACGTGATTTGCCCTTGAAAAGGATTATAAACCTTTTTATTTGTCATTTGAATATTTTTCTTACATATCTACACAACAGTAGTTTAGACATGTTTCTCTATTCCATATCAGTTCATGTATGTGTTCTCCCTGTACTACCAGTATGTGTACTTTTATAATGAGGTGTTCTTGGTATTTTGTATTATATTACAAAGTGAACAATAGGTGTAATTGTTCAGTTTTAGGAGGGCAGTTTTAGCACATGGTCCATCTCCACATCAACCCCTGATGGTAAAGCTGCAGTACGTCTTTGCATTTCTCAGTCATACACAGGTAACTATATATCAGTCATACACAGGTAACTATATATCAGTTATACATCAGTAATCATATATCAGTCATACACAGGTAATTAAATATCAGTCATACACAGGTAACTATATATCAGTCATACACAGGTAACTATATATCAGTTATACACATGTAACTATATTATCAGTTATACACAGGTAACTATATATCAGCTATACATTAGTAATCATATATCAGTCATACACAGGTAACTATATATCAGTCATACACAGGTAACTATATATCAGTTATACACAGGTAACTATATTATCAGTTATACACAGGTAACTATATATCAGCTATACATTAGTAATCATATATCAGTCATACACAGGTTACTATATATCAGTCATACACAGGTAACTATATATCAGTTATACACAGGTAACTATATATCAGCTATACATTAGTAATCATATATCAGTCATACACAGGTAACTATATATCAGTCATACACAGGTAACTATATATCAGTTATACACAGGTAACTATATATCAGTTATACATTAGTAATCATATATCAGTCATACACAGGTAACTATATATCAGTTATACATCAGTAATCATATATCTGTCATACACAGGTAACTATATATCAGTTATACATCAGTAATCATATATCAGTCATACACAGGTAACTATATATCAGTCATACACAGGTAACTATATATCAGTTATACATCAGTAACTATATATCAGTCATACACAGGTAATTATATATCAGTCATACATCAGTAATTATATATCAGTTATACATCAGTAATTATATATCAGTCATACACAGGTAACTATATGTCAGTCATACACAGGTAATTATATATCAGTTATACATCAGTAATCATATAGCTGTCATACACAGGTAACTATATTTCAGTTATACATCAGTAATCATATATCTGTCGTACACAGGTAACTATATATCAGTTATACATCGGTAATCATATATCTGTCATACACAGGTAACTCTATATCAGTTATACATCAGTAATCATATATCTGCCATACACAGGTAACTATATATCAGTCATACACAGGGAATTATATATCAGTTATACATCAGTAATCATATATCTGCCATACACAGGTAACTATATATCAGTCATACATCAGTAATTATATATCAGTTATCCATCAGTAATTATATATCAGTCATACATCAGTAATTATATATCAGTTATCCATCAGTAATTATATATCAGTCATACACAGGAAATTATATATCAGTCATTCACAGTAATTTATATATCAGTCATACACAGGTAACTATATATAAGTCATACACAGGTAACTATATATCAGTTATACATCAGAAATCATATATCAGTCATAAACAGGTAACTATATATCAGTTATACATCGGTAATCATATATCTGTCATACACAGGTAATTATATATCAGTCATCCACACGTAACTATATATCAGTTATACATCAGTAATCATATATCACAGTATACACAGTAAGTGTTAAGTATCTTACCCAAACATATCATTTGTCTAGCTCTGCATTGTGGCAGCAACAGTGAGTGTTTTCTTAGTGTAAAGACTACAAGATCAGTTAATCAATCTTGGATCAAAAGTTGAAAAATGTATCTACCACTGTGTTCCAAAAACTGAAAAAAAAATGCTAGGTCAGTTGGTATATGTGGGAAATAGATTATTCTGCTAAGTTATATATTCGCTGCATGTCAGAATTACTAAACTGACACAGTAATCAAGATACCTGGTAACTGCAATTGATATGCAGAAAATGTTACATGTCTTTTGACAGGTGAAATTAGGGAAACTCTTTGTAGTTTTATTACTCTTGATGTATCTCCTCAGAGACCTGCCTATGCACCAATGACGTTTCTTAGGACAGCCCGACCCCCCTGGTTCACTGCAGGTCATCAGCAGGACTGCTCCGAGTTCCTTAAATACCTCATTGATCAGCTGCATGAACAGGAAGTGATTGATCTGAAAAAGGAGATCGAGGATAATTGTGGCAAAAAGGATAAAGATGGAGACGTTAACATGGCAACCGGCCAAAACAAATCGGATGAAGATTTTGAAACAACTGTTCGTGAACACTTTGGTGGAAAAATGGTTACAACATATACATGTTTGAATTGCATGAAGGAGTCCTCAAGGATGGAACATTTTTCAGATATCCCTCTGGCATTTCCCGATACAGAAGGTTCTGGTGATGGGATGGCATTAGTAGGTGGTGATGGGGAGAAGATTTCCAAAACGGGAGAGGATCCGGAGTCGCCACCGAAGTCCTCCCCTACCACTGCCAAGTCATCTCCGCAGCCTAAGTCAGAGGCAGTAAAACAATTACATCTGAGTGACCTACTTCAGTATTACCTACAGCCAGAGAAACTGACAGGGGACAACAAGTATCACTGTGATAAGTGTGGAGGACTGCAGGATGGAGAGAGGAAACTCAAGGTGCTGAAGGCACCAGACCATCTTATCCTCACACTGCTCAGGTTCTCCTATGATGTTAAGCTCCAGACAAGGTCAAAGACATTCCAGGAGGTCAAATATCCTAGAACTTTAATCCTTCCAGTGGAAAATTCACCAGTTTCCCAAAAGGAGGATGTCAATAAAAGGAAGTCGTTACGTAGTGCGGTGACGGGACAGATAGAACAATGTGGGGTTAATGTGAACACCAAACGAGGTGAGGTGTACGGACTGTGTGGAGTGGTGGTCCACTCCGGGACATCCTCCGACTGTGGTCACTACTACTCCTATGCACGCCACTCTATTTTCTGTGATCCTGATACAATCTGTGATAGCCTTCACCACTGCAAGAGCGAAGACGACGTGGACTTTTTACAGGACAAGTGGTATTTATTCAATGACAACCGTGTCTCCCATGCAAGCTATAGCTCCTTCTGTGATGTTACGCAGAGATTTACAAAAGACACTGCGTATGTTTTGTTCTACAAAAGGATTGATACGAAAAATGCAGAGAAACAGGAACTGAATATGAATAAATCTCTTCAGGCTAAGGATGTTGACCCTCCACTCCGTTCAGACCTCAGAATTGCTCTCAGTAAAGATAATGCTATGTTCTTACAGGTAACACACAAACCTTTAAAGTTGCTTGTTGTATACTGTATTGCACTCATACTGTAAAGTGGTGAAATATATTCAACATTAAATTAATCACCTTCTTACAGACAAGTGTTTGTAATTTTAAAACTTAATGGCTTTGTGCCAGATTTAAATCTGCTAATTTGTTCCAAGTAAAACTATGAAACATGAAATTCATGAAAGCTTAACTTGAATATGAAATAGTGATTGATATGCATGTTTCCCTATCAATGGTTTCTTACAAAATACAAAATAAATTGTCACAGGGATGAATAAAACTTGCTTGATAATTGCATTAGAAATGGTTTTAGTGCTTATACTTAGTTTATGACTGTTTGTTGACCAATTCTGTGAAAATCTGTATATCATACATGTATCTGTTTGATATGTTTCTATATACATATATAGCTACAAAAGCATTACTTTAACATATATTTTTTAGCGATGTGTTACTTAGGGCTTTTCACTCATTAAATATTGTGCTAAATTATGCTTCTGCAAATCAATGTTCCTGTGTATTGTTTTCTATTGCAGATTTTGTGGGTGTGCCAATTCATCAACTTCAAGGCACTATAAGCTGTTAAACTTGATAAAGTGCTAAAATTATAGTTATGTTTACAGTGTGTAAATTCCACTTTGACTGCATGCAAGCAGTCTTTTTGAACATGAATTTGTGTGTAAAATTATGACATTTCAACTAGCTCTGAATGCTCTTTTCTCTTTATAAAAGTTTATTCCCATTTTGTTTTTTTAAGGAACAAGAAACCATAGCAAGAAAGAAAAGCCAGTTAAAGAGGCCTGGCTCAGCGAGCTCTTCCTCCTGGTTTAATTGGCAGAGAAGAGACGAAGATGATGAACCACCGGGAAGCTGTGGGGGTGGGGGAGGGGGCAAGTATGGGGACCTAGACACATCAGGGGCAAAGTTCATATTCTGAAATGGTCATACGTGATCGGTGTTAATCTATTGCAAGCATTACTGATGTTCTTGAGCAAAGAAGAGTTCAGAGAGTGACAGATAATAACACTTATTGTGATGGAATATCTACATGTTAAATTCTGTCTGTTCATCACTTATTGTGATGGAATATCTACATGTTAAATTCTGTCTGTTCATCACTTATTGTGATGGAATATCTACATGTTAAATTCTGTCTGTTCATCACTTATTGTGATGGAATATCTACATGTTAAATTCTGTCTGTTCATCACTTATTGTGATGGAATATCTACATGTTAAATTCTGTCTGTTCATCACTTATTGTGATGGAATATCTACATGTTAAATTCTGTCTGTTCATCACTTATTGTGATGGAATATCTACATGTTAAATTCTGTCTGTTCATCACTTATTGTGATGGAATATCTACATGTTAAATTCTGTCTGTTCATCACTGTCAATGAAAAGGAAGATTTTTACACCTGACGTACGGAGTAGGTTGTTGTTGATGTACTAGAATATTCATTTTTAATTGCAAGATATACACAAGCATGTATGCTTTTGTTTTACATCTTAATTGACAAACACTACTAGACTTTTGACAATGTTGTAGCACACTGGAATCTTGTTAGTCCAGATTGTCAAAGTGATTTACCAGACAGTCAAAAAACAAAGGGAAACTACTTACCTACATAGAGACAATTCTTGTTTTGTTAATCTGGAAATTTTGTTGTGGTGGTGAAGTGGTTAAAAATGTACACTTTCTTTTTTTAATAAAAAGCTTCTACTCCTATAAAAGAGACCTGGATAGATTTTTATATCTGAAGGTTGTAATTACTGGACTCGATCAAATTTACCAGCAGGTATACGTAGCTGTAATACTCATTCCGAAATACAAGTTACAGGAAATCTTGATCACGGTGTGTTCAGAGGTTCTCCTGGTTAATTATTTCACAGACTTCTTAGATCTGATTTAAGTCTGTGTTTCTATTTAATATGAAGGAAACTTGCTTGAAACAAATTTGAGATAATTTTGATTAATGTTGATATATTATTATCACTGTACATTGTGTCTTCAAATGTTTGAGTTTGAATTCCATTGATGTGGTGACATGGCTGTAACCAGAGGTGCTAACACTTACCACATTGTCATGTTGCTGAAGTTTGATATATTTACACTTGTTGCCTATAAGAGCATTTACAGAAATGATACGAAATCTGTTTTTTCTTCTTTCATATTATGATAAGAATTACAATAGATTTTAAATGTATCTCCATTTTTATTTGTTTCATCCAGTGAAAAGTGCTCTCCTCTTTTTTTATATTTATACTTGATAACATTTGTGTACGAAAATTATGTTACATGCTGAAATATTAAAACAAAAATGTACCCTGCTTTAATGTTGCAAACTTGATATTTCATTGGTATATATTTTAATAATCATGTCTCATTTTGGTATTACCAAGTAATGGCCAATCAACAAGGTGAGGGTGAGTAAATTATGTCATGTGTACCACTTACAGGTTCTTATATAGCTAAGTTAAGTCATGTGTACCTCTTAGTGATTCCTATAGCTTAGCTAAGGCATGTGTACCACTTAAGGTTTCTATAGCTAAAGTAAGTCATGTGTACAACTTACAGGTTCTTATATAGCTAAATTAAGCCATGTGTACTACTTACAGGTTCCTTTAGCTAATGTAAGTCATGTGTACATCTTAGTGATTCCTATAGCTTAGCCAAGTCAAGTGTACCACTTAGAGGTTGGTGGAGCCAAGTTAAGTCATGTTTACCTCTTAGTTATTCCTATAGCTTAGCTAAGTGATGTGTACCACTAAGAGGTTCCTAAAGTTAAGTTAAGTCAAGTGTACCACTAAGAGGTTCCTAAAGGTAAGTTAAGTCAAGTGTACCACTTAGAGGTTGGTGGAGCCAAGTTAAGTCATGTGTACCTCTTAGTGATTACTATAGCTTAGCTAAGTCATGTGGACCACTTACAGGTTTATATAGATAAGGTAAGTCATGTGTGCCTCTTAGTGATTCCTATAGTCATGTCTCATTTTGGTATTACCAAGTAATGGCCAATCAACAAGGGGAGGGTGAGGAAATTATGTCATGTGTACCACTAAGAGGTTCCTAAAGCTAAGTTAAGTCAAGTGTACCACTAAGAGGTTCCTAAAGGTAAGTTAAGTCAAGTCAATTGTGCCACTCAGAGGTTCATATAGCCACGTTAAGTCATGTGTACCCCTTACAGGTTCCTTTAGCTAGGGTAAGTCATGTGTACATCTTAGTGATTCCTATGGGTTAGCTAAGTCATGTGGACCACTTACAGGTTTCTAAAGCTAAGTTAAGTCAAGTCAATCGTACCACTCAGAGGTTCAGATAGCCAAGTTAAGTCATGTTTACCTCTTAGTTATTCCTATAGCTTAGCCAAGTCAAGTGTACCACTAAGAGGTTCCTAAAGGTAAGTTAAGTCAAGTCAATTGTACCACTCCGAGGTTCATATAGCCACGTTAAGTCATGTGTACCCCTTAGTGATTCCTATGGGTTAGCTAAGTCATGTGCACCACTTACAGGTTTCTATAGCTAAAGTAAGTCATGTGTACCACATACAGGTTTCTATAGCTAAGTCAATTCATGTGTAACTCTTAGTGATTCCTATGGGTTAGCTAAGTCATGTGGACCACTTACAGGTTTATATAGCTAAGGGAAGTCATGTGTACCTCTTAGTGATTACTATAGCTTAGCTAAGACATGTGTACCACTTAAGGTTTCTATAGCTAAAGTAAGTCATGTGTACGTCTTAGTGATTCCTATAGTCATGTCTCATTTTGGTATTACCAAGTAATGGCCAATCAACAAGGGGAGGGTGAGTAAATTATGTCATGTGTACCACTAAGAGGTTCCTAAAGCTAAGTTAAGTCAAGTCAATTGTACCACTCAGAGGTTCATATAGCCAAGTTAAGTCATGTGTACCTCTTAGTGATTCCTATAGCTTAGCTAAGTCATGTGTACCACTAAGAGGTTCCTAAAGCTAAGTTAAGTCAAGTGTACCACTTAGAGGTTCATATAGCCAAGTTAAGTCATGTGTGCCACTTAGAGGTTCTTATATAGCTAAATTAAGCCATGTGTACCACTTACAGGTTCCTTTAGCTAAGGTAAGTCATGTGTACCACTTAGTGGTTCCTATAGCTAAGTTATGTCATGTGTACCACTTAGATGTTCCTAAAGCTAAGTTAGGCCATGTATACCACTCGGAGGTTCCAATATAGCAAAGTTCAGGGTAGGATCTAAGGTATGTTTACTACCGACAAAGGGTATTGCCAAAGTCAACGTTATGGAGTAAAGTTAAAGGTGTGTGCAGTTTTCCATTAGAGGCAATAAATCATCCACAGTGAAGATGTTTCCTTAATAATAATAATAATAATGATTCAGGAAAAGCACACAGGACAAAACAATTTCATATAAGAAGGTAATTTACAAAGTTGATGTCTATAATTTACGTATTTTGCCTTAGCCTGGGGAAGCACATAGTAAGCTTATATCCAATAAGGTCCCCTCCTTGATACCCATGTCTTGGAGTAATAAAATTAATTTAATGAAATATGACACTATAAGGGTTAACACCTAATGGGTTTATTTGTATGTGGTTTATCAGATAATAAGTAAAAGGTTTGTTTGTTCAAACCGTGATTAGCTTCACAGATCACATTTTCAAAATGGGATTTTTAGGTCACCTGAGCTTTAGCTCAAGTGACCTATTGCTATCTGTTTTCGTCCGTCGTTGTCCGTCGTCCGTTAACATTTTACATTTCAAACTTAAAGTCAAGTTCTGCTGGGCCAATTGAACTGAAAGTTTGTAGGAATAATCGCCTCATGGTCCTGACAAAGTGTTGTTATTTTTCGGGTGGATCAGAAATCCAATATGGCCACCACGGCCGCCATTTTGAAAAACTATTTCAAACTTAAAGTCAAGTTCTGCTGGGCTGATTGAACTGAAAATTGGTAGGAATGATCTACTCATGGTCCTGACAAAGTGTTGTTATTTTTCGGGTCGATCAGAAATCCAATATGGCTGCCACGGCCGCCATTTTGAAAAACTATTTCAAACTTAAAGTCAAGTTCTGCTAGGCTGATTGAACTGAAACTTTGTAGGAATGATCGACTCATGGTCCTGACAAAGTGTTGTTATTTTTCGGGTCGATCAGAAATCCAATATGGCCGCCACGGCCGCCATTTTGAAAACCTATTTCAAACTTAAAGTCAAGTTCTGCTGGACCGATTGAACTGAAAGTTGGTAGGAATGATCGCCTCATGGTCCTGACAAAGTGTTGTTATTTTTCGGGTCGATCAGAAATCCAATATGGCCGCCACGGCCGCCATTTTGAAAACCTATTTCAAACTTAAAGTCAAGTTCTGCTGGACCGATTGAACTGAAAGTTGGTAGGAATGATCGCCTCATGGTCCTGACAAAGTGTTGTTATTTTTCGGGTCGATCAGAAATCCAATATGGCCGCCACGGCCGCCATTTTGAAAACCTATTTCAAACTTAAAGTCAAGTTCTGCTGGACCGATTGAACTGAAAGTTGGTAGGAATGATCGCCTCATGGTCCTGACAAAGTGTTGTTATTTTTCGGGTCGATCAGAAATCCAATATGGCCGCCACGGCCGCCATTTTGAAAACCTATTTCAAACTTAAAGTCAAGTTCTGCTGGACCGATTGAACTGAAAGTTGGTAGGAATGATCGCCTCATGGTCCTGACAAAGTGTTGTTATTTTTCGGGTCAATCAGAAATACAATTTGGCTGCCATGGCCGCTATTTTGTAAATACCTATTTCAAACTTAAAAACAAGTTCTAATAGGCCGATCTCACTGAAAATCGGTCTAGGAATGATCAGCTCATGGTCCTGACAAAGTTAAGTTAACATTATACTTAACTATTTTTTACTCAAATTGGTACATATTTCAACAACAAAAATAAATACTGTAGGACTCAGGTGACCGTTAAGGCCCATGGCCCTCTTGTTGTGAAATATGGTATTTGCAAATATTTTTGTCAGTCTATATATATATATATAATCATAAGAAAATCCATATCAAACATTCTACATACAACTTAAGTTTAAAATGCTTTAAAGTAAACTTGTTTAAATTTTGCGTTAAGTGTTCTTCTAAGCTAGCTTTGAAGAACTGGACGCTGGTAGTAAATCACAATGTGGACATTGGTGTAAATGTAGGCATACATTATCATCAGTTTCATAAAAATATATTGTACCTGTTGAATTGAAGTTTTTTATACCCGATACACCTGGGGGAAAAGTAAATCCCTTTAACCTGATCACAATGCAGCTTGAATAATGACAAAATTAACCCAAGACTGTGCAATCTCATGCAAAGGACATTTGCTTTAAATCAACAGACACAAGTTTAAAATTACCAGCTGTTATATTGTTGTTTTTCCCTGGCCCGGTGATATCTGCATGTTCATATTTATTTATATATAATTTATTAATCTCTTATAATGCTGTCATGTTCTATTATTAAAAATCATTGCTATTACTGATAATACTGAAACACAAATAAAATGATTTTTTACAGACCTCTTTCAAATGTTGTCTTTGTTGTAGAATAATGTCCAGTCTGATTCTACCCGACATGTATTTAGCTTTACAGGGATATGTGTACATGCTCTAATAAGATCCCAACCATGATAACAGTGTTATACTTCACTATTTCTAATTTCAAATGCTAAAGCTGGGAACTGTTGAACAGATGCACACTGGTTATACACCTACATCATTTAATAATGTTACTCCACCCACACACCCAGTTAATATGTCCATGTTCTATGACCTTGCCCTACGATCAAAGGTCAGACAGCATCCTTGAGGTTGATAAGCATCATTGCTGCACATTTTTATCCAGATCCAGTTAAGGGAACAGAGTGATGGTACTGATACCTGGTTAAGATATCCAGGACATTGAGACAATGCTGTGTCATACCTTTTGGTCATGGGCAAATTACTCCCAATTAAAGTTGGATTTACACCACTGTTCTTCCCAGGATGTAACAGAACCCACATTTGGCGGATTGGTCGAGTGGTTAACACTCCGGCCTTCCACGCAGACGGCCAGGGTTCGACTCCCGAAGTTATCGTACGCTAGGATATTTAGAGAAAGTGTTATTTTCCTGCCCACACAACTCCAACAACCCAGGTGGAGTATAAATTGGTCTGGGGTGGATGTTGCGGTATCCGTGCTGTAGCATTCAAATGAGGTGGTTCTATATATAAATGACGCTGTTGGAAGCACGGTTCCACTACAAACAGAAAACATAACATCTCCAGCACACAGGCATAGGGAGATTTTAGCCAGGTGGCATAGGACAAGTAGTTAGCGCCTGATAAGGCAGCTCCTGCGAATGCCTCAAAATTGTATCAATTAACGTATATGTTAATTGTGAATTGTACATCTGTGTACTGTAAAGCGCTTTAGAGTGCCGATTATGTTAGCTAGATAGGGTGCTATATCAAATGTTGTATATATCATATTATTGTTATTATATATTCCACTTGGTTGTCCTCCCCAGGAACATGGTATCCTTCTACAGAACTGTGATGGCTATAATGTT